TGGCACAGTTTGCTTAGTCGTAAGATTCAGATTTTTGATATGGACATGGATGCCATTGTTTCTGCTCTGCATGTGATGTATGCTGATGACTCTAGTGTGGTTCCCGCTTATTACTCACTGTTGCCTAGTGTAGGTGTGCCTAGCTTAGCCTTCCCTGCTGCGTCAGGCGTAGGATCCCCTGCTTTGTATAGTCTTGGTGCTTCCGCCGTCGTTCCGTTGCCAGACGCCTCTGCTTCGCTTTCCTTCACCTTGGACTCTGGCGCTTCTCGGTGTTTCTTCCGCGACTGTACCACCCTGACGCCGCTTCCTGTACCAGCTGCCGTCTCTCTTGCTGACCCCTCCGGCGGTCCGGTCGTCGCCCGCAGTTCCACCACCCTTCCCTGTCCGACGGTTCCTTCGGGCTCTCTTACAGGTCTGCATATCCCCTCGTTCTCCAGGAACCTAGTTGGTGTCGGCTGCCTCCAGGACCTTGGCGTCACCACTACGTTCCCTGGTCACGAGCGGTATGCTGTCTGTACCGAGGCCGCCACTGGTGCCCCCCTGTCCACGTTCCCCCGGGACCCGGTGTCCGGCCTGTTCACTCTGGACACCGTGACCCCCCCGGCTGGGTCGCCTCCTCAGGTGGCTGCGTCTACCCAGGTTGCTGCTGCCTGCTCCTGTCGGTCCCTCACTCACCCGACTCTCCTTTGGCACCACCGCCTAGGTCACCCTGCGCTCCCGCGTCTGCGTCACATGTCCCAGCACGGTCTTGTCCTTGGTCTCCCAGGTTCCCTCCCCTCGTTTCCCTCCTCCCCAGCCCCACCTTGCACGCCTTGTGTTGAGGGTCGGCTTCGCCGTGCCCCGCACTCCTCCTCGTTTCCCCCTACCGCCGCGCCGCTGCAGACCCTGCACCTGGACGTCTGGGGCCCCGCCCCCGTCCTTGGGCCGCGTCGAGAGCGCTACTTCCTTGTGCTTGTCGACGACTTCACTCGTTACACCACAGTCTTTCCCCTGGAGCGGAAGGCCGACGTGCCTGGCGCTCTCATCCCCTGGCTTGTCTCTGCGCGTGTCCACCGCGGTCTCCCTGTCTTGCGTCTTCACTCCGATCGTGGTGGCGAGTTTGCCTCAGGTGTCCTTGGTCGCTTTTGTCGTGCGGAGGGCATCACCCAGACGTTCACCATACCCGACTCCCCACAGCAGAATGGGGTCGCTGAGCGACGCATCGGTTTGGTCATGGAGGTGGCTCGCACCTCCATGATCCATGCCGGTGCACCCCATTTTCTGTGGCCGTTCGCTGTGCGCTACGCTTCTCACCAGCTTAACTTGTGGCCGCACCCTCAGCAGCCGCAGGTTTCGCCGACTCGTCTTTGGACTGGGTCTCCTGGTGACGCGTCTGCGTTCCACGTCTGGGGCTGCCTTGCTCACGTCCGTGCCTCCGGCATGGACAAGCTCACTGCCCGCACCCTTCCCTGCGTCTTCCTCGGTTTTCCCCTAGACGCGTCCGACTGGCACTTTTACCACCCGCCATCTCACCGCTTCTTTCACTCTCGTGACGTCACCTTTGACGAGTCCGTCTCCTACTACCGTCGCTTCCCCCATCGTGGTCCCCCGGTTACCCCCCCCCTGTTCCTGGTCCCTCCTTCCCCGGTAGTCCCTGCGCCTCCTCCTCCTCCTCCCCGTCCAGCCCCCTCTGGTGTGTCCCACGTCACCCCCCTTCCGTCGGTGGACCCGGTTGAGGAGTCTTCTGACTCTGGTGGCCCTCCTGTTCAGTCCTCGCCGGCCGCCCCTCCCCTGGCGTCCCCTCCCCAGTCCCCCCCTCCACCGCCTCTGCCGCCGCTGCAGCCGTCGTTGTCGCTGCCGCTGCCGTCGCCGCCGCCGTCGCAGCACCCGTTCGCTGACTCTGGGGGTGCTCGTCCCGGTAGCCCTGGGGGTGGTCCCTCTGGGGGTGCTGGTGTGGAGAGTGCCGGTGGTAGCCGAGGAGCAGCTTGCGGTCCCGGTGTCGCCTTTGTGCCGCCGCAGCAGCAGTCCCCGCCGGTGTCAGCCCTTCGCCTGCTCGGCCTTCCGTCCCCCGACCCTGCGTCGGTTCCTCCCCGACCGTCTCCTTCTCTTCTTGTCTACGGCCCTGTCTTCCCTCCGCCGGACTCGTCCCCGGCCCGTCTCCCCCCTCGTTCCCCTCCTGTGTCCCCTCCTCTGTCTCCTGACCCGACTCCTCCGTCGCACGTCTGGTCTCACCGTCCCTCCCGTGCTCGTCCTGCCTCGCCTGTCTTGCGCTCCCACCCTATGTTGCTTCGTTCCCACGCGTCTCGTCCTCCCCTTCTGCCGTCGCCTCCTCCGTCCTCCCTTGTTGTTGCACCCCCCCCGCTGTCTGACTACCTTCGTGCTGCTCGTCCCCTTGTTCCTCGGGTCCTTGCCTCTCTCGTTACCGACCCGTTTGTTCCGGCCTCGTGCCTTGACGCTCTTGTCGCTGCTGTCGCTGACTTCGCCTCTACCCGCCGCCTTGACTACGCCTCCGCTCTGGTCTCTGACCCTGCCTGTCCTCCGTCTGTCGGGGGTGCTCCTGCCCTTGGCAGTGACGTCCTGGAGGACCGCCAGTTCGAGCTTGCTCTCCTCTCCGAGGCTGCTCCCCATCTCTGTTCCATGCTGCTAGTCCCTGAGGGTGACCCAGACGCTTTCGACATCCCGACCCCTCGCACTTACGCTGAGGCGACTTCGGGACCCTGGGCCTCGCAGTGGATAGCTGCCATGGAGCAGAAGATGGCATCTTGGAGATCCACCGGCACCTTCGTCGACGCAGTTCCCCCACCTGGGGTGAACGTAGTCGATGGCCGCTGGCTCTTCAAGGTGAAGCGCCCTCCTGGAGAGCTGCCTGTCTTCAAGGCGCGCTATATCGCTAGAGGCTTCAGTCAGCGCGAGGGGGTGGACTTCTTCCAGACCTTCGCTCCGACCCCGAAGATGACTACTCTTCGGGTTCTGTTACACCTAGCTGCTCAGCGTGACTACGAGCTTCACTCCCTCGACTTCTCCACTGCCTTCCTTCAGGGCAGCCTACACGAGCAGGTCTACCTGCGCCGCCCTCAGGGCTTCACTGGCACCTTCCCTCCTGGGACCCAGTGGCTCCTGCGGCGCCCCGTCTACGGCCTGCGCCAGGCTCCTCGTGAGTGGCACGACACTCTTCGTGCTACGCTTGCTGACCTGCAGTTCTTTCCGTCTTCCGCAGACCCTTTACTCTTCGTTCGTGCTGGCCAGACTCCGTTCTACATCCTTGTTTACGTCGACGACCTGGTCTTTGCCACAGCTGACAGGGACGCACTGGCCTCCGTGAAGGCAGAGCTGCTGAAGAGACACACGAGCACTGACCTTGGAGAACTGCGCCGTTACCTCGGCTTGCAGATCTCCAGGGACAAAGCTGCGCGCACCATCACCCTGACTCAGTCACACTTGGTGCGCCAGGTCCTTCAGAGGTTCAGCCTTCAGTTCTCCTCTGCACAGCCCACCCCTCTGCCTGTAGACCACAGACTCTCCGCTCCAGTGTCTGAGGAGTTGGTAGAGCCCAGCGGCCCCTACGCAGAGCTGGTGGGTTGCCTCATGTACCTGATGACTTGCACTCGCCCAGATCTCGCATACCCTCTCAGCATCCTGGCTCGCTTTGTGGCCACAGGCAGACACCGACCGCAGCACTGGTCTGCCGCTAAGAGGGTTCTGCGTTATCTTGCTAGTACATCGGGCATGGGGTTAGTGCTAGGAGGACGCAGGCCAGTGGTCCTTACAGGACACACAGACGCTTCGTGGGCATACGACGCTGAGACACTCAGGTCTACCCAGGGCTACTGCTTCAGCCTTGGCTCAGGTGCCGTCTCGTGGAGAGCTACCCGCTCCTCGTCTGTTGCGCAGTCCAGCTGTGAGGCTGAGATCTACGCTGGTGCCATGGCGGCACAGGAGCTCCGCTGGCTGACCTTCTTGCTTACCGACTTAGGTGAGCGGCCTAGCTCTGCCCCGGTCCTGTTCGCTGACAACAGGGCCATGATCCTCCTGTGTCAGGAGCCTCGACTCGAGGGCAGAGCAAAGCACATTCAGCTGCGGTACTTCCTCCTGCGTGAGCTATAGCAGCGACGTCAGGCTCGCGTAGTACACTTGGCCTCAGGTGCCAACACGGCTGATATCTTTACGAAGGCGCTTGCGCCTAAAGATCATCAGCGGCACTGTGTACAGCTTGGTCTAGTTCCTGTAGCCTCTCACTTGCTAGGACCTTGACTTTGTACTGTCCTTTATACACTCAGACTGGACTTGTGTCCTCTCCCAGTGGCTGGACTAGTAGTGCCGCCCTGCTCTTGTTCTTGCCTTGTTTGTACTCCTTCTGACTGGTCTCTCAGACCCTTGTCTCAGAGGTTGGACTAGTAGTGCCGCCCTGAGCTGTTTGTCTAGGGCATTCCCCTATGCAGTCTACGGGGTGTGTCAAACATGTGTATTTGTCATGTTTGTATAGACTGTATAGGGTCGCCTCTTAGAGAATACAATACTTAGGTATATCTGTGTGTGCTCTCACTCTATCCATATTCACTTCTCAATTATGATATCCTGAACTTGTTTTCGTCCAATAGAGGGTAACGTAGTAAATGCCGTTTGAATGTCGCAACTCTCAGGGAACAAGCGGCAGCTCGCGAATGCCGCTGAAAAGGACAAACCCGTAATTACTGTAGCGCTCAGTATTCTTGAGTTTCGCCTGTGACCATTCTGAACGCATTTTTGTGGGGGTCTCGTGTCACACATTGTTCCCCCCTTCCCCCGCCCCCCCACACTGTTCATGCGCTATTGAACTCGGATGTTGCTGACGAAATTCCGTGCTGCGATCACAGTTCTGCTATTTCGCCGAATTCTGGGTTCGTTGGGGGAACTTTGCCGAAATTACGTTCGCCCAGTTTTTTTGGCACTGTTTTCATGCCCAGTATTCATGGTTTTTTACGATTCTAGACTCGGGCTTTAAATAGCCTTCTTGATTGCTATTATTGCCACGGGCTTTAAGTCTTCGAGGTATTTACAACAATAGGAATTCACCCTTAGTTGAGCTACTGGGCAAACATTGTCTAGCATAAATAGTTGTGCTGGCAACACTACAGACAGTGCAGCATAGCAGGCAAATTATGGGAAAACAAACAAAATGCTGCAATCGCAAGTCCAATGTGACGTCCGGAGATCTGCCCTACTGAGCTCGTTTGTATCTGAACCTAGTACCTTAAGTGCTAAGTGATACAAAGTGTATCACTCACTCGTGACCAAGAACTTCGACACTTAGCACCTAGAGTCTCTCGGCACATGCATCGAAGACCTTTGAGCGATAACACTAGGAAGGGTGAGGTGAGGTTCTAAAATACAAGGTGGGGAAGGGTAGGGACGAGGGGTAGGGGATGGGGGAGGGGGGGAGGGGAAGGGGGGAAGGGGTGGGGGGACAAACGTGCACAAGGAGAGGACAGGAGAGTTTTCAACCCTCTGAGGTAGTGGGGTGAGGAGACAGGAGGAAGGGATGGGAGAAGCGGGTGTAGGAGGGCGAGGGAGAAAGGGATAAGCTCTGGCGCTGCTACACCACTCCACAGCACCACCACTAGCAGCAACAACACCACCAGCACCAGCAGCACCACTTGCATCACTTTCAATACACCCACCCCTCCAAGGCCCCTCCTCTTGAGTCAACTCAAATGTCACCCCCTGCCGGGCCTCCTTCCTATAACCCCCCTCGGCTAAGTGTCAAGCTACCCTCCTCAGCTAAGCAACAAGCTGATCCCTCCCACCGTGCCTAGGCGAGTTCGCTTCGTCGGCAGTGCTGCCAGCACTGCCTGTGCTCAAGCTACTCCAATCCACAGTACTCACACTGCAACCAGCAGCAGCAGCAGCAGCAACAGCAGCATCAGTGCCCCCACCACCCCAGGCCCGTCCTCCCACGACGTCCCTCGGCTGTGCAGCAGGCTCACCCCATCCTGTGAGCCACTGCCATCTTTAACTTTAACCCCCGGGCCAATCCAGCCATGACATGCCTGGACGGCCCCCAGTAACACCATTACACAGTAGCCACACTGCCCCCACCACCACCACTGCCCCCGCCAACACCACCTCCTGGCCCGTCCTCCCACGACCCCCCTCGGCTGTGCGCCAAGCTGATCCCATCCTGTGAGCTGCTGCCACCTTTCGCCCCCGGGCCAACCCGGCCAGGCGACAGGCCAACCCCACCATGGCTAGGCGAGCCACCTGGGCTTTCCAACAGGCGGCCCGGGCTCCCACCGGGGCGGGTCGGAACGGACCGGGAGGCGAGCCCGCCCCCTCGTTCCGGACTAGCAGGGGGCAAGGAGGAGGACGCGTGCAGCTTCTTTGTCAGCCACCCCCGCAACCCCGCCTTCTTCGTCCCCTTCCGCCCCTTCCTCCCACTGCCACTCCCAACCCCACCACCGCTGATGCTCCCGTCGCCGCGGTCCCCCTCTGTGCTCTCCCCCTCCACACTCTCCCCGTCGACGCTCTCCCCTTCTGTGTCCTCGGCATCGGCTCCCCGCTCTGAGATTGAGTCTCGCTCGCTCACTGACTCGCGATCTGCCTCCTGCTGAAACTGCTGCTGCTGGTAGTGCTGCTGGTACTGCTGAGTCTGCTTCTGCTGCTGCTGCTGTTGCTCAGTCGATATGGCACTAGACACTCCAGAAGCTTCTAATGCTGGCGCCTGCTCCTGCTGGTGCAGGTTGCTGCTGCTGCTCCTGTTGCTGCTCACACCCGTGCCGCCCCTGCTGCCACCACCAGCATCACCGCCACCAGCACCAACACCACCACCGCCACCACCACCACCAGCACTACCTTGAGCACTCCCCCCTGGACTCATCCTCCCAATCCAACCCCCCCCTCCTCCCACCCCGTCCCCCCCTCCCCCACCTCTTGATCCAGCAGCGGCCCCAAGCTGCTCCTTTGTGGCAGCAGCTGCCGCTGCTCTGGCTGCTGCAGCTGCCACGAAGCTGCTTCCCACCGTACTCTCTTTCTCCCCCTTCTCCTTCTTCCTCCTCTCCTTCTCCTTCTCCTCTTTCTCCTTCTTCTCCTTCCCTTCCTTACCCAGGGCCCCTCCTATGGATTTGCTGATCCCAAACAACAGCCCCTTGCCCTGTTTAGTCCCCCCCCGGAAGATACAGACTCAAGCTTCCCCTCCCCCTCCTTTCTTCCACTACCACTGCCACTACCACCCCCTGGACCAACACCCGCACCAGCACCATAACTAGCAGCACCATCAGCATCAGCACCACCATCGACACCGCTGCCAGCAACGCTGCTACCACCAGGGGTGCTGGCGCTGTGCATAGTCAGTTGGTACGCTCTGGGTTAAGATGACTCTGCTCCCGCTCCTGCTCCTCCCCCTCTCGGCTGTTGATGGGGCTGATGCTGCCGCTGCTGCCAGCCCCGCTGCCAAACCCGCTGTTCATGCCGCTGGCCGGTCCGCTCCTACAACTGAGAGGCGTACCCGTGCCACCAGTGCCGCCCATGCTGCCTGAACCAGGTATGCCTAGATGCCTCCCTGATGCTCCTGCTCCTCCTGCTCCTCCTCCTGCTGCTGCTGCTGCTGCTTTCTGCCGCGCTGCTGCTGCTGCTGCGAAGACAAGGCTGCTGCCCACGTTGCTCTGTTTGCTCTTCTTCTTCTCCTCCTTTTGCTGCTGGTGGCGGTGCTGGTGCTGGTGGTGATGCTTATGTGGCTCCTGCTGCTGCTGCTGCTGCTGCTGCTGAGGTGATGGCTGCTGCTGCTGCTGCTGATGCTGTGGCGATGCCAGGTGCTGCTTCTGGCTGTGCTGAGAGGAGGACGAGTGAGCCGGGGATGCTGGCTCTTGGAGCACCGTCCCCTGCTCTTGCCTTTGCCCACGCTCATGCCCCATCCCATGCCCTTTACCATGCCCACGTTCCGACCCGTGGCCCTGCCTGCTCCCCCCTTCCATGCTGTCATAGCTGCGCTCGCTGCCTGTGCCCTCCCCTGTTGCCGAGCCTCCAGTTCCCAAAGCAGCAGCTCTAGCTCGGGCCGCAGCTGCCGCCACGAAGTCACTGCCCACGTGGCTCTCCTGCCTCTGGCTCTTGCCGTGCGCTGAGAACAGCCCTACACCATGCCCATGCCCATGCTCATGCCCATGCCCATGCCCATGCCCATGCCCATGCCCATGCTCATGCCCATGCCCATGCCCATGCCCATGCCCATGTGCATGTGCATGTGCGTGTGCATGGTCGGGATTATGCTCATGCCCATGTGTAAAAATTCCAAGTATGACATGGTGGTTGCTACCGTCATGATGCCCATGCGCACTGTCATGCCCATGCCCCTGCTGCTGATGCCCTGGAGACGCATGCATGCCATGCCCCCAGTTACCAAAGATGCCATGCTTGTGGTTACTACCATCATGACCATCCTCATGCCCATGCCCCTGTTGCTGGTGCCCTGGGGACCCATGCATGCCATGTGCTGGAGACCCATGCACACCATGCCCGGATGCCCCTGCGGCAACATGCTTACCATGCCCTGGTGATGCATGCATGCCATGCCCATGCTCCCCCCCTGCCTCATGCTCCTGACCCCCATGGCCCCCACTCCCATGCCATGCCCTTGCCCACCCTGCCCATCCCCGTGCCCATTCCCATGCTCATGTGAGTGGATAGCAGAACCACCTGCCACTGCTCCCGCAGCCACTGTTCCACCTGTTGCCGCTCCTGCCACCCCCCCATGACCTGCGTTTGCAGCAGCAGCGCCACCAGCACCACCACCAGCACCGGCAGCAGAGGCAGTAACAGCAGAAGCAGACGCAGCAGCAGCAGCAGCCTTGGCTCGGGCAGCAGCAGCCGCCACAAAGTCACTGCCCACGTGGCTTTCCTGCTTCTGGTGAGCCTTGCCGTGCCCCGAAAACAGGCCCACCCCATGCCCATGTGCATGCTCCTGTGAGTGTGCATGTGCAAGTGCATGGCCATGCGTATGCGCATGCCCATGCTGCCCGTGCTGCGCGTGCTCCTTGTGGTCCTTCCCTTTGATCAGGTTCCCGATCCACTCGCCAGCGTTGAACCGCTTGCGCTTCTCCTCACTGGGAGTGTGCCCCTCTGCATCCGACCCGGCATAGCCTGCAGGCGTGTGTGGGGACGGCTGCACCAAGGGGGAGGTGCAACTGGGCGTGCTGGCTGCCACTGTGACGGCTGTCGTCGTGGTGGCTGCTGCTGCTGTGCTGGCTGCCGCTGTGGTTGCTACAGTCTTGGCACTCTGAGCCCGCATGTGCATGCTGCTGCTTCTGCTGCTGATGATGACTGCCCTGATGGTGATGACTAAAGCTCATATGAAAGTGGAAATGCTGGCCTTCGTGGTGGGGATGCTGCTGCTGGGGATGCTGCTGCTGCTTCTGGTGCTGGTGCTGGTGCTGCTTCTGCTCCTTCTCCTGCTCCTGGTCCTTGTCCTGCTGCTGCTGGTGCTCCTGCTTCTGCTGCGATTGCAGAAACGTCTGGTGCTTGTAGGTCGCATCACCATACCTATCACGAACCATACCACCACCACCACTGCTCACACTCGCACCCGGCATAGGTGCTTGCCCCACAACACCTGCCACCTGTGACCCTTTATCTGCCCTCCCTGCTGCTCCTGCTCCTGCTCCTGCTCCTGCTCCTGCTCCTGCTCCTGCTCCTGCTCCTGCTCCTGCTTCTGCCGACGCTTTTCCTTCTCCTGCTCCCCCCTTGCCTGCTGAATCAGCTGCACCTGCTGCCGACACACCCGCGTCCCTACTCCCCTTCTCCCCCTCCTCCTTCGCCCCCCACTCTCCCCCTCCCCTCCCCCCTCTTTCTCACTCTCAGCCATCATCTGATCCCTCCTCTCCCTCGCCTCCTTCCTCCGCGCCCGCTCCTTCTTCCTCCTCTCCTTCCTCTCCTCCTCCGTCTCCTCCTCCTCGTCGTCGTCATCTAGAGGAATGGGCAGTCACCATCAGGGCTCACAAGATAGGCTTGCGGTCCGTCGGGGTATCTGCAGATTGGGATATGAATCGAAGGGAAAGAATGGGAAAACAACTCTCCTCCTCCGTCTCATCTAGAGGAATGGGGCAGTCCCCATCAGGACCACAAGATAGGCCTGTGGTCCGTCGGGGTATCTGCAGGTGGGCAATGTAACACAAGGAGAAGGGTAAGACAACAGATGTGACCTTCCTCTCCTCCTGTCTCCTCCTCCTCGTCATTGTCATCTAGAGGAATGGGGCAGTCCCCATCAGGACTCACAAGATAGGCCTGCGGTCTGTCAGGGTATCTGCAGGTGGGCAATGCAACACAAGGGGGAAACGGTAAGAAAACAGATGTGGCCTTCCTCTCCTCCTCCATCCCCTCCGCCTTCTCCCCCTCCGCTCCTCCCCTCCGCCTCCTCGCCTCCGCCTCCTCCCCCTCCACCTCCTCCCCCTCCGCCTCCTCGTCACCATCATCTGGAGGAATGGGGCAGTCCCCATCAGGACTCTTTGGGATACAAGTTTCGTTTCGAGTCAACTCAAAACGGGACTAGTGTCAGGGTATTTCAGGCTATGTACAAGGAGGGAAGGGTGAGAAAGGAAGGGTGAGAAGGGAAGGTGAGAAGGGAAGGGTGAGAAGGGAAGGGAAATGGTAGGAAATCGGGGCTCACAAGGTAGGCTTGCAGTCCGTGGGGGTACTTAAAAGGAGGGAAAGCGAGAGAGATTGTTGGTGGGGGGGATAGTCCTGGTAAACTTAGGTGGTGCTGGTAACCCTAAGGTGGGGAATGAGGAGGCGTGATGGCGACCTCACGCCTGCGGCCCGTCTTTGCATGTGTGCCATGCCACAGCGACAGCCGTTCTCCCACGTATGCCACGGCGTTCTCCCATGTATGCCACGTCGTTCTCCCACCCATGCCACAGGGCCTCTTTTGAGTCGACTCAAAAGTCACCTCTTCTGAGTCGACTCAAAGGCACCCCTTTTGAGTCGACTCAAAAGTCGCCTGTCTTTGCGTGTATGCCATGCCACAGCGACAGTCGTTCTCCCATGCATGCCACGGGGCATCGTTCATGGCCCCACCATGGACAATCTCACCATCTCGAAACGACCCTGCCGTTACAAGCCATGCCATCATGTGCCAATCCATTACCCAACGCACCTCCCCACACCCCAGCACACCTCCCCACACCCCAGCACACCTCTCCACATCCCCCAGCGCACCTCTTCATGCACGCCATGGTCGACCCCACCACGCCTCGCAGCCCCCCTGCCAGCGCCGCGAGCGCCGCACTCAGCTTCTCCCGCTCCGCCCTGCCAACCCGCCCTTCCACTTCCCCGCCGCATGCGGCGCGGATGCGGAGTACGGCGTGATTGTTACGCCTGTGGCTGCAGCGAGCGGCCCCGCTACACTGCCCAGGAGGGTCTGGGCGTGGGCCTTGGGAGCGGGTTGTAGCCCAGCAGCACAAGCACCAGCCCTGGGTGGTGCCTTTGAAAAAGCACAAACAGCCGCCCGTAACCCTGAGGTAGTGGGAGGGGAGAGGAGGGAACGCGAGGACGGAGCATGAGTTTTAGAAGCGGGTTGTAGCCCAGCAGAACGAGCACCACGCCTGGGTGGTGCCTTGAAACAGGACGAACAGCCACCCGTAACCCTGAGGTAGTGGGAGGGGAGGGAAGAGGATTGAACGCGAGGGACGGAGACTGAGTTCTAGAAGCGGGCTGTAACTGTAGCCCAGCAGCACAAGCACCAGGCCTGGGTCGTGCCTTTGAAACAGGACGAATAGCCGCCCGTAACCCTGAGGTAGTGGGAGGGGAGGGGAGAGGAGGGAACGCGAGGGACGGGAGCCTGAGTCTTAGAAGCGGGTTGTAGCCCAGCAGCACGAGCGCCAGGCCTGGATGGTGCCTTTGAAACAGGACGAACAGCCGCCCGTAACCCTGAGGGGAGGGGGGTGGGCGGGAGGTAAACGGAGGGAAATGGAGGGGAGCGAAGGGGTGGGGTGATCGCTTCCAAGAGCGGATTGTAGCCCAGCAGCACGAGGAAGGAGGACCACGTTTGGGTCGAGTCTTTGGAACGGAGCACAAACATCCGAACGTAGCCCTGAGGCTCGGACGGACGGGAATTCAAGGGGATGACAGGGAGTAGCAGGAACCGATCGCTTCAGGTTTGAGTGTGGGCATTGGGGGGGTAGCGAGGGATTGGGGGGTTAGCAAGGGATTGCGGGGGTTTCGTGAGGCAAAAGGGTCGCGAAGCATCTACAGAAGCATATTACCTCATAGTATTCCATGCCATGCTCGTATCATACCATGCACTGTGGCAGAAGATGTGAGCGCCTGGCCGCAACGACTTCTGAGGCGCCTCAAAAGTTTCCCCGCACAATACCATGCACTGTGGCAAAAGATGTGAGTGCCAGGCCTCAACGGACAAACGCCTCATCCTCCCCTCTCCCCTCTCTCCACCACCCAACCCCTCCTTCTCCCTCTCTCTCTCTCTCTTTCCCCTTCTCAAAACCCCACCCCCCCTTCCTCCCCCCCTTCTCCTGCCCTCTCCGCCTCCCCTGAACCCTCTCTCTCTCTCTTCTCTTTTCTTTCTCTCAATCAAGAGATTGGACTAAAAAACACTCATCTAAGGGTTAAGGATAGCAGTTTCGACAGCCGCGTAGAGCTCAAACAAGCTTTCGCATTCTTATCACATGGACGGAAATGTGAACGCGACAGAATCAACGGCCAAACGGACACACTGACTGACAGGACGACAAACGGAATAACGGACCGAAGTACGACGGGAGGGACGGAGAAATGACGGACGGTGGGAAGGGCGAACGACGAGCGACGTGCAGCATATGACGGGAAACAATCGCCTCTAGACCCTAGGCCTGTAGGACCGCTAGCGAGGGAGTTTGAGTCGACTCAATGCAACACATGACGAACGACGAGCGATGAACGAAATGCAGCACATGACGAACGACGAGCGATGAACGAAATGCACTACATCACGGGAAACAAGTGCCTCTAGACCCTAGCTGTAAGACCGCCGCAAACCTATCCATCTCTGCGTGCATGTTTTTCCATCTCTGCATTGATCCCCGGAAACTCTATCCTCACATGGTGTTTTGTGCTTCTGAATGTTTTTTTTCACTCTCTTCCCGAATCCTCATGCGACTGTTTTGTTTCCGATGATGCCTCGACTGAAAAAGAGCAACCGGATGCCCCTAGGTATTTTTAGTCGAGTCCAAAAACGTCGAAAAAGTCAAACCGGATGCTCCCTCCCTAGGCTCACCATGGAATACTGTGCGAAATGGCCGTGCAAATTCTCCAGAGCCTTCGGCAATGCCTCGCGGAAAGCGTCCGCATCCCTCCCCATAGTCCGCCAAGATGTACGCGCCATTAGCCGCTCCGATATAACCAACAAGCTCCTGCTCCTCCTGAGGCTCGCTCCCATCCGCTGCTCCATTATCGGCAGCCGGCTTGTCCGGATCCTCAGGAGCCAATGGGCCTTCCACGTCATCAATTACTTTGCTAAGTGCTGGAATCTTTTCTTCCGTTGCGTTAACAATCCCATTTCTTGAGCGTGAAACAGCTCCTGGGACGTTGGGTCGTTGGGCCTCCACCTCTTTATCCATGGCGGAAGTAACGCGACGACGCGCGCATTTAGAGATAGAGCATCGATAAATACGGGCGATGAAACCCTCAATTTTGTCTAGGGGACGTCAGACGACAAAATCAAAAGGACGTCACCAGCCGTCAGAACGGGCTTGAGCCTTCTAATCTTGTGGAATTGCCAACTTAGTCCAGCTCGAACAACACTAGTTTTGCAGAACCCAGAAGCTGGTGGTTGGGGCCCAAGATCGACGAAACCTGAGTGGGAACGAAGGGGAAGCCCTGACGTTCAGTGCGTATTCGTTGACATATTTGAGGCGAAGTAAAAACAAACGCACGAGTTCTTTGTCAGCCTGGTGTCGTTAAGGGATACCTAATACCCAAAGGCATAAGGTCACGTCCGAAGAGTGAGTTTTCGTACAAATACGTTATTTAACCCGTAGCATGCTACTTTATCCCCAAATTAAACCTCCCGACCAAATAAGACGGACCCTTCGGACACGCCTGCCCTTATCCATTTTCCATCTTCCCTTGGTTCTTGGTTGTACTTTCCGCCATTCCCAGCTAAGTTAGTACATTCCTGAAACGTGGACAAACTTTATTCATGAAAGTTTCCTGAGTCTGGTAGGTCAGATATGCTAAACATTTGGGCACGTGCGTTTGTTCAACTTGGGGGATGGAGCAACGACCTGACCTGATGCTGCTGACTGCGGAGTGCCAAGTTCAGGCGCCGAACTCTAGCACTCTCCCACGCACATCAACGCGAGAAACCGCTCCCGTACCGCACCCTCTAATCGCACCCTAGAGCTTGCCAACTGGGCGACCTTTGCCTGAAACAAAAGGCAGAAGTATAGCATGGAGGTCGTATTCCAGGCTGTTACGAACAGATTCTACACTAGAAGGGTAGCTACCCTGATTCATAGAAGTCAAGGTGCGTTAAAGCATGAGTTCGGAAACTAAGAAGAACTGATCCCGTCTTCGGGATTCCCTTGATTCCGAGTCCCGTGACTTAGAATCGGGACGCGAGCAGGGTGATTTCTAATCAGTTTCGGAAAAATTGATGGAGATTCTGAAAGTTTTGGGAACCTGGCTCGGAACGTCTGGAATTCCCCACTTCAAGGTTTAACCTACGAAGCAGGCATTTACAATTCCGATCCCAAAAATTCTGCGACGAACACTTCTGTTCGAAGGCAATAGTTTCGAGGCCAGGAATGTCTACTGATGGATCTGTCACGGTTGCCCGCTGATGACGCTGAAATTGGTCTAGCCAATTGAAACTAGCCAGGAAGGAACTGATGCCAGAAACTGGAGTGGGGAAAGGCGACAAGATTTTGCGGGTCGTCGTATCACGTGGTACCATAAATGCTCCAGGAGGGGACCGCCATTGGCCGTTGATTGGGCATTGTACAGTAGTGCCCTCCGGTTTCATGTACTGTACAGTAACAATAACTGCACGTACTCTAGAACTTGGTTCAACGAACTGCCTTCCAAGTGAGGGTGCGCAGAACTGGGGGGACTAGGGTCTGAATATGTAACATTTGTAACTTTCTTATAAGCTGGCTCTTTCCATTATGCACTCATATTCGTATCGCCCTTGCTAGCTCTGCCACCTATGCACTCTGTTATTTCTCTTCAGGGCGTGTCATAAGCGTTCATACTCAATTCACACAGCCTTCCCATTTACCTGAAAATCACTTGTGACCACACGATTTTTGTTTTGGGAGGGTAAACACGATGGGGTTCGCTTCAATAGGGTTTGCAGAGTGCGTGCGATAGTACATGTGAAACACGTAAAATATCTCAACTGGTGCTCCTCTTTTTCTTCGTCAAGCCGTTCGTCAGTTGCTGTTGTTAAAATTATCTAAGTTATAATTTAATATAGGCTTGTAGGTTGTTACTGAACCTTTCTGTAGAGGGTACAAACCCCTCCTTGTACTCCTCTCTCTTCCTAATCCAACTCCTTTTCTCTCGACACTCTCGCCTACTCTCCTAGCTAAAACCCGCCGCCACATTCATGGCGGCCTTCACTACCTCCTAGCCTAGTCCTAGCCTTTCGATAGCTGTTACCAGACGCCCTGGGAGAAACATGTACCGTGCAGCGAAAATTGCGAGTCCTCAAGGATGGCCTCGTCTCAGTTTGGACACGCTGCGGTTTTTGTTTGATTTTCGGTGTAGTCATCTGAACAGTACCACTTGATGACAATCCCGTGTGAATTCCCCAAAATCAACGCTTATGACACGCCCTCATTCGCCTTCATTCTTGTGAACAAATTCCAAGGGTAACTATAGCCCTGTCTGTTAAAATTATATAAGTTATAATTTACTATAGGCTTGGTAGGTTGTTACTGAACCTTTCTGTAGAGGGTACAATCCCCTCCTTGTACTACTCTCTCTTCCTAATCCAACCCCTTCTTTCTCGTCAACTTTTCTCCTCACGCTCCTAGATCTACTTTCCTCACGGCATTCCATGGCGGCCTTCCTAGTATCCTAGCTAAGCTAGGTTCCTAAGTTTAGTTAGTGTCCTAAGGTTCTTTGAGATGGTATCAGAGCAGGAGATCCTTCCTGCTGGACCGCCTACTCACGCTTCTCGCGCTGCCATGGCGCTTGTGTCGTGCCGCTGGCCGCGTCGTGCCGCGGCCGTCTCGACGCACTGCTGTGGCGTCGCGCTGTCGTGCCGTCGCTTCCGCCGCGCATTTCTCTCGTCACTGGCCTTCCCGCCGTGGCGGCCATGCCGGCCTGTCATGGCGGCTTCGTCGTGCGGCCCGTCGCCTCCCTCGACGCCCTGCCGTGGTGGCGTCGACGCTTTGCCGTGGCAGCGTCACCTTGCTGCCGTTGCAGCGTCGGCGTGCCCCCACACCGTCGACGCCGCGCTCTGGCGGCGTCGTCATGCTGCCGCGGCAGTGTCGATGGGCGGCAGCGGGCAGCACGCCGTCGTAATCGCCACCTGCCCGCCCTCCTGCCAGTCAGCGCCGCGCCACTTATGGCGCGTCGCTGAAGACTCGCCCCGCCCCTCCCCTCCCCCCCCCCCCCACCTCCACCTCCTTCCCGTGCATTCCCCTTTTCTTGCTGCATCCGACGACTGCCTCATGAGAGCCCTGCCCACCGCCGAGGAGACTGGACATGCCGCCGAGAGGGCGGGGGCCGCTGCACCGGCCGCTGACGTTCGAGCCGCCGCCGCCGCTGTTGCCGCTGTTGCCGCTGTTGCCGCGGTCCTGGCACTGCCGCACGCCGCCGACGCCGCCGCGGTCGTCACTGTCACCGCTGCCACCATTGCCATCTTACGGGCCGTGGGAGCTGCCCTCTTTCGGAGTCGTAGCGGCTCCTGCTGGGAATGGGGGTGCTGGGCTAGGGGGTGTGGGTGTGGGTGTGGGTGTGTGCGTGGGCATGACCCTACCAAGCCTAGGGGGTGTGTTAAAATTATATAAGTTATAATTTAATATAGGCTTGGTAGGTTGTTACTGAACCTTTCTGTAGAGGGTACAATCCCCTCCTTGTACTGCTCTGTCTTCCTAATCCAACCCCTTCTTTCTCGTCAACTTTTCTCCTCACACTCCTAGATCTACTTTCCTCACGGCATTCCATGGCGGCCTTCCTAGTATCCTAGCTAAGCTAGGTTCCTAAGTTTAGTTAGTGTCATAAGATTCTTTGAGACTGTCCCCTAGTGCACTGCACTTGATCGCAACTGGAGCGCCCCCAAACCCTTATCATGATCGTGCAAGGCACTCTGTTCTAAGCATGCTCCTAGGCCCTAGCTTGCCTTACCATACTACTCTTGGTGTGTCTCATATTCAACATTGTATTCTACTATCCTTGTGGCAATGCGTCACTAAACAGCCGACCGTTCTTGGTCAGACGAATTTCATCTGATATGTCTTGATGCTTGGTGTTGTTTAGATTTGGTGAGGATGAGGAGATTTGCGAATAAAGGGCTTGTGGGATACAGTGTTAGAGTAGTGGGAAAAAGGTGTGAGTAGGAAGAGGGGAGGGAGAATACAAGTACAAATATTGTCCCCTCAAAGAACTGATTTAGCTAGGCTATAACAAACATATTTAAACTAACTAGATATGTTTATACAGAATATATGTTTGTTGACACACCCCCTAGTCTAGGTAGAGGCAGAGTTTAACAAACTAGGGCAGCACTGTCGTGAAGGTAGGCAAGGTAGGAATAGGTGAAGCCATGAATATGGCGTGAGATATAGATCTAGGAGGTAGGCGAGAAAGTCGAGAGAAAAGAGGGCTAGAAAGAAAGAGAGAGGGATTCAAGGAGGGGTGTTGTACCCTCTACAGTAATGTTCAGTAACATCTACCAAGCCTACACTTATATAATAACTTATATAATTTAACAAGCCCTACTAGTTTGGCCTCTGGTGAAGATAGCAAGACAACTCAGGGCAGCACTACTAGTTTGACCACTGAGAAAAGAGGCCACAAGGCCAATCAACAAGACTAACAAGACATGCTGGTATAGCACAGAAAGTACAAGCACGAATAGCATGACTCAGGATACAAGGAGCGATGCTGCTACGGAGACTAGACCAAGCTGAGTACAGAACCGCTCATGGTCACGAGACGCAAGTGCCTTGGTGAAGATATCAGCGGTGTTCGCCTCAGAGGCCAACTGTACTACACGAGCCTGACCGCGCTGCTGTAACTGATGCAGCAGGAAGTACCGCAGCTGGATATGCTTCGCCCTGCCCTCAAGTCGAGCCTCTTGACATAGGATGCTCATACCCCTATTGTCAGCAAACAGGACAGGTGCAGACCTAGGCTGCTCAGCTAAGTCTGTAAGAAAGAACGTCAGCCAGCGGGGCTCCTGAACGGCCATGGCCCAAGCGTAGATCTCTGCCTCACAACTGGACTAAGATACAGACGATAAGCTAGTAGACCTCCACGAGACTGCACCAACACCAAAGACTAAAACAGTAGCCCTGAGAAGACCTGAGCGTCTCCAACTCGTCAGCCCACGACGCGTCTGTGTGTCCACTAAGCACCACTGGCTCCCGTCCTCCTAGCACAAGCCCCAGTCCTGATGTACTTGCCAGATACCGTAGTACCGGTAGCC